GGAATGTCTGCAAATACACCAATACCCAACTGAAAAGTGGCTTTGACTCAGAAATAATCAAAGCAGTCATTAATCAAAAGGACTATAATCAACATGGACACAGCGTATAGTGCTCTAAAGGCCAAAATTTGTTTCAAGGTTGTAAATTTCCACAAGTACATCCATTCTTTTAAGACAATTTCTGTGTACTTCATTAGTATTAATGCTATTCATAATTTTGTAGTTGGGCTTTAGAACTATAAGAACAACACTGTGTTCCTTAGTTTCAACAATGATGGACACACATGCTTCAGGTCCAAGCACGTCTCTGTTATGGTGAAATCATTTCTATGGTGTTCTAAAATGTCCTTAGACATAACATTTGTCCCCTGGCTTAGGCACATTTTGCAGTATACATGGAACTTTCTATTTTCACCTGGGGACTGGAAATGAGGACACTATGCCTTCATGAAAAGACATTGTATTTTAAACCCTCCTTCTGGGTTGAAAATTCTGCCTGACTGTACAATCTGTGACCTTGAACAATCCATTTAACCTTATGAGACTTAGTGTCTTCCTGTGTAAAATGGAAATATAATGCTTTCCTCACAGGATTTGAGTTAGAATTAAATGTGCTTAGCTCATCTGCTCATTCCTAAACCTCTGCCTGACCTCTAAAACTTAGATGCCCCAGGGCATACTCCCTATCCCTCGAATCTCCATTTACTCCTGAAATTATCACGACCGTTTCTGTGGTTTACGGTATCACCTGTATGCTGGTAATGGCCTCTTTTATATCTCTAACTGCCCACTGCTCTCAGTTTCAGACTCATCTATCTAACTGCCCATCCAACATGACCACTTGGAAAACGAAGGGACATCTCCAATTAACATGCCCACAGCAGCATTTTTGACCCTCCACTCCCTTATGCATCTGCCATCTGTTCTCTCTTCAGACTTCATTTCAATAAATGGCCCTTTTTCCCCATTTCTCCACATTTTGTCCCACATATGTTTAAAACCAAGTGTCTTCTCCTCATCTTCACTGTTCCCAATCTGCTTTCAGGGAAAATCTACTCTGTTTCCCGTTCTACCCTCCTCCACCGCCAAACTTCTTTTGTCTTTTAATAAATTTCCTTGTGTATTTGGTTTATATTGCTATTTGACACATTACCATTATCTTACTGGCTTAAAACTGCATGAATTAGTGACCTCATAATTTCTATGGGTCAGGAGTCTATGCACAAGTTAGCTGAGAACCGTGCTTAGGATCTTCATCAGGCTGAAATCAAGAGGACAGCTGGACCTCTAATCTCCACAGAAAGAGCCCTATCTTAAGATCATTCAGGTTATTGGCATGAACTGAGTTCCCTGTGATTGAATTGCTGAGGTGCCCATTTTATTCCTAACTTTTAGTGTAGGGTCACTCTCAACTTCTAGAAGCTACCCCTAGGTCCTTGCCACATGGCTTCTTTCTCTGGCAGCAGGAAAGCTTACTTCTTTAGGCCATCAAGAAAGGTTCTCTTTTAAGGGCTCACCTGATTCAGTCAGACCCACCCAAGAGGATCTCCCTTTTGATTAACTCAAAGTCAGTTAATGGAGACTTGATTACCACTGCAAAATCCCTTCACTTTTTCCATAAAATAACCTAATCACAGAAATGAAATCTCACCATATTCGCAAGTTCTTCCCACACAGAAGGAGAGAAGATCATTAAAAACATGTATACAAGGTGCAGAAACCTTGGGGGTCATCTTGGAGTTCTGCTGACTACAACTTGGCTTCCACTCTTGTTGCCTTCAATCTTGAGGATCCTTCTAACCAACATGTTTTATGTAAATAACAAAGTCTTTACATAGACTTTAAGTTAGATCATGTCACTAACTTATTTATTATGTTCCAATTACTCTTGATTGCATTTGTACTAAAATTCAAATTCCTTCTGATGGCCTACAAGGTTTTACATGATCTGATTGCTGTTGGCTACTCCATGGACTTTATTTCATGTCACTAACTTTAGCTCACTACCCACAGCCACACTGGCCTTCGGATCATCAAACATTCTGCACTCATCTCTACCTCAGGGCCTTTGTACTTGCTATGTCCTCTGTTGGAGCGGGGGCGGGAGGGGCGGGTAACTATTTCCCAACTATTTACAGGACTGGCTCCTTCTTGCCATTTAGATCTCATTTCAAACATCACCGTCTTTAACCACACTATGTAAAACTTCTCCCTCTCCCTAGTAATTTGTCTATTACATTATTTTGTTATATTTTCTGATTGTTTTTGCGCTTCCCTATTTACTGTCTGTACTCCTCATTTATATGTAAGCTTTATGGAGGTGCCTGGGTGGCTCAGTAGGTTAAGCCTCCAGCTCTTGATTTCAGCTCCAGTCAGGATCTCACAATTGGTGAGATCCAGCCCCAAATCAGACTCAGCACTGACAGCGTAGAGCCTGCTTGGATTTCCCCTCCCTCCCTTTCTCTCTCTTCCTCTCCCACTTGCTCTCTCCCGCGCACGTGCACGTGCGTTCTCTCTCTCTCTCAAAATAAATAAACTTTAAAAATGTTTTAAAAATGTAAGCTTTAGGGGCGCCTGAGTGGCTCAGTCGGTTAAGCGTCCGACTTCGGCTCAGGTCATGATCTCACGGTTCGTGGGTTCGAGCCCCGCTTTGGGCTCTGTGCTGACAGCTAGCTCAGAGCCTGGAGCCTGCTTCACATTCTGTGTCTCCCTCTCTCTCTGACCCTCCCCTGCTCACACTGTCTCTCTCTCTCTCTCTCTCTCTCAGAAATAAATAAAACATTAAAAAATTTTTTAAAAAAATAAATAAAAATAAAAATGTAAGCTTTATAAAAGGCTGTCCTACATCCATCTAGTTCACCACTTATCCCCAATATTTAGAAGAGTGCCTGGTACATGGTAGATTCTCAAAGTGCTGGGTAAAAGTAAAGGATTCTACCAGAATGAATTGTACTTAACTTAGTTCATGATATTTATTTTAGGCAGATACTTGCAGTCACTTCACTTGCAGGGCATGAGAAAGTGGGAAAATAAAAAGTGAAACTCATCCCTCACAGTGTGCCATGAGTACCATTATCATTCAAAGTATTCACTGCAGATATAAGTATAAAGGTTATGATCAGGGAGGCCACTGGCCTGTGTGGTGTTCACTTCCTTACTACTGAAGAAAAAAGCAAAAGGAAAACAGAATTTAGCTTTTTCAGGCTCTCATTTACTAAATGCAATACCCCTCCAGGCAAAGTACCTAAAAAAAGCCCCCCTTCAGTTAAACCAGTTTTACAGGATTGAGTGAAGAGAAAAAGATAGCCTGATTTCAAAGTATGAGCCACAGATGGTGAAAGATGAAATTGAATTTGGGGTGCTAGTTTCAACCTAATTCTAGCAGCACTTCTAAATGCCTTTAGGGTGAACAGAATAGCATAGGCCATCAACCTGTAATTCAAGTCTAATACATTGATAAAAAATGAGAAGAAGCCTTTTCCTCCTTATTGAATTTTCCAACTGAAGACAGTAAACATTTCTTTAAGTGAGCAATTCTTAATAGAAACTCATGGACATGATACAACATTTTTCCATTCATCAAATCTCTGTATTCTCTAGCATTTCTTACTTACCCTTCTAAATTTCTAATTGCATAAATAAGTAAGCTAAGCTTTGGATCTCTTCATGACAGATAATGATCATCCCAACTTGCTCATGATACTTCTAGAATCTAGAGCAATTTTTTATAACCTCAAAGTAGTGGTAGAAAACACTGGAAATATAGAGTTTCAAAAACCTATTATTGCTTTTTTTTTTAAGTCTTTGCATTACTTAGCAACCATCTTAAAATAGAAGAGATACTTTATAAAGTAGAAAAATGTGGCTTATGTTGATGGCTGTAGCCTGAAACATTTCATTTGTTTACATGACCTTTTTTGAGTGGAAAAATACAAAGTGTGATTTAAATAGAACAAGAATATACAAATCTATCATTTCTATAAAATTTTCTACATTTTAGAATTTCAAAAATAATAAAAATAGGTTAATGATGTCTTTATTGCTTCTGTATATTTTCTGTAGTTTCAAAGTTCCAACTCTGTCTCTGAGTCACTGTGTCGAGAAAAAAAGCAAAGACAACTGTCTCTCAAATTTCCTGTTTTTCCCTCTTCTGTCATAAAATAGATAACTATGTGAGATTTAATTTGGAATTTATACTACATTTTGAAAAAATAAATGTGAGGTTACAAAAGAAACTGCTTGTCTCTGACTCCTCCCCCCCCATTTTTTTTTTTTTACAATTGTTTTGTGATTATGTGGACTGAAAAGCTAAAAATAACTAAGAGAAATAAAGGAAGAGCTCACGTTTTCCACAGAAATTTAATCATTTTTATCTGGTCCAGATTTATTCCATTTGACTGAGCCCCAAAGCACTGTCTAATTCTAAGAAGGGCCAGCGTGTGCCTGGTAAGATGGTTATAGTTTTTCCAGGGCAGACAAAACAGAGGGGAAACAGCTATAGAAGACAATATGGATGGATCAGAGTCCCTTTGTAGGTGCCTGGGATGCCAGCTATTAATGTGAAACGGCAGCAGACATTTCAGTTCGGTGAAGTTAATTTTCATCAGAGGAAGTCTGTTCGTCTTTCCTCGCTCACATACTGATGATTTGAGTGCTAAGAACCAGGCACGGATACCCAGGCATATCCATTTCTTGTACATTTAAGGAGCATGGGCACTGTGCTAGCTTTCCCAAGCCTTTCCTTACACGTTGAACCAAGGGAACAAAAATCATGTCATATTCACTCTTGTTTGTGTGGGAGGCAGCAATAATGACTCAGTTACAGACTCAGGACGAGAGGTTAGAGGTAAAACCAGCTGCTATACTTAATGATGGGAAGGTACCACATCTTCCTCTTGGACTGGAAGCATGGCAAAGACGTGAAGTGCCGCTTCCCAGAGGACCATTAGGAGAGATTCCACCTTACACTCCCATGAACACTTCTCTGTCTTTTCACACAGGCGCTACCCTGAATGCCGTTGCATTAACTTTGGATCCTGGTTTATGCTTTCCTTCCCGGCAGCTATTATCATTCTCCTCTTGTCCTGGATCTGGCTTCAATGGCTTTTCCTAGGATTCGAGTAAGTAAAGATTCCATGTTAATCAGACGACTAAAGGTGTCTTCCTTCCCAGTTCCCAGCAGCTCACCCAGTGCTCTTTCACCCATTTCATGCACACGAAGTCTCTGCATTTCCCTTCCTTATAAAACAGACACACGTGAACACATATTTTAAGGATAAGCTAAAATATTATCTAAACGGTGTTGGCTGTGGAGGAGACTTTGCAAATCTACCATCATCTCCTTTCAATCCTAAGCTAATAATTTATTAATCAGGTGGAAGGGCATAAGGAGCTTATGAAAAGGACCCAGTCCAGCTTGTTAAAGTGGACTTTCAAGAAGTTTTGCCCTTCCTCTTTGTTTAACGTGGCGATTTCCTCCGGTTACCTAGTTACCTTAAACGATAGCATGCAATATTCCTGCTTCATCCGGGCACCAAAATTGTTATGTCCTTGAAAAAAAAAATCACATAAAGACATGAGACTGTGCCCTGTGGAAAGAATGTTAGATTACGAATCAGGAGACCAGGGACAAAGCTGTGGCTTCTCACAGTGCAGAAGGGTGATCTTTCCCAGTCTTGATGTTTTCAACTGTAAAATGGAGTTTAATTGGATGATCAGTAAGATCACTTCCATCACTGCAATTCTAGCACATATGGGTTCCGAGTTGAACAGCTAGAAGTTAAAGTGAGAAACACTGATCAAGAAAGAGCCACGAACATGTCAAATATATGTATTCAAGGCAAATTTGCAAATATTACCTTGGCTGAGACTGAAGCTGGTGGTTCATAAGAACCAATGAATTATATGACTTAAATGACAGCCAGCATTTAAAATTATGAAGGCTCCACAGCAAAATCTAAAATGCAGCTTTATATATTCTACACATACAACAATACTCCAAAAAGAAAGGGGAAATGTCTATAAATCAAACCCTGAGGATTTTTTTCCTGGAAAAAAAACAATTCAGATTCATCTTTATTGGTTATTATTTGAATCATCTCAAGGACTTATGAATAAAACAACATGTTATCTACTAAGCAGTGAGACTAAAGTCAGCTCTCTGTACTTCCTTTGAAAGGCAAAGCACTGTGACCCAGGGGTGATCCATATCCATGCCCAAATTTTCCAAGCCTCTTCCTATAAAGACTGATACTCTTCCCTCTCCGTTTCCTCTTCCTGATTTTTCTCCGGAACTACCACAGTTTTGTTAGGAGTGGGAAGATGATACTGATGATTTAAAAAAAGAAAAAAAAAAAAAACCTGTCCAGATTGTGGGAGCAGCGTGTGGCAGTTCTCCTGCTGAAGCAAATGTGTGGAATGTCACTGACTTCAGCAGGTGGGCATCAGTGGGGAGAAGCCAGCTGCATGCTAAATGCCCCTTCCTGGAAATCCAAGCCTTTGGAGGTCTATTCAGGTGCACAGGTAGCAATTCAAGATGCAAAGGACAGGAATCCCAATCGAGGGGGAAAGCATCCGGTCACAGACCCATAGGTGTTTCCTTCTTTCTTGGTACATATAATCACTTTATAAAAAATGTATGCAGCCATTGTCATTATTATGAAATGGCCCACCATGCGAAAAGGAGATATTAAGAAAATAAAGGGCAGATGTATTGAAAGATATTCTCTGTGAGGACAAAAATCCCGTGAAGTGCATACATTAGGCAAAAGTCCATAAATCAGGATCAGTGACATATTTAAACAGTCCCATTGCTGTCCGCTATCGGTTAGACAATACCCAGCTTCACACTCCGGCTAATTTTTCAGTGTCCATTTCAGTCAGTCAGGGTCTTCACCTCCAGAGGTTTTAGATCAACAAACAGAAATTATTAGCTACTCCCCTGGCAGGCCACCATACATTCCGATTAGCGTGTTGGCTGTTAACACAGTTAACTCACCTATTATAAATGACCCCAACATACTTGGAAAGAGAGGGTCATCTATCAACGCCACTGAACTTATTTAAATGAAGAGGTTGATGCATTGTCATATGCTTCATCAGTTCCTTTGTGAAGGCATTAACCTTCGTCTGTAGCAAAGCCAACACAGCTTTGGACTTAACCATTTATCATCCCCAACCAAAGAGACCAAATACGTATGCCGCATATGCAGTCTCCTGGCTGGAAAACATCTTTTAGGGAGACTGGCGTCTTTTTTCAATTCTACTTTTCTGTTCTACAGATGGATCTCAAGGTGGTCCAGGGATCAGTTTCTCATAATAATAGTATTTATATTGTGACAAGGGGTAAAATGTCAAGACTGGCACTTGTCAGTAATTTAGTTGAGATTATAGACATTAAATATTACCTCATTGAGCTTAAATATAACAACATGCGTCTCATTATGTTCAGGGGTTGGAGTGTGTGCAGAAGAATGATCATGAAAGTGTAGGATGGATGATTTAAGAGTTGAGGAAATTCTGCTCCTTCAAAGGGAATAGTAGTCCAAACAAGTCTGAGTGGGAGAGCTACAGAAAAAAAATAAATCAGATATCTTTTTGTGATAGCTGCCTTCGCACCGCCTCAGTCTTCCTGCTTCCTCCTCATATACATCCATGTTCAGCCCAGCAATTTTATGGAAGAACACCGGCCTGAGTTTTTTCTTCTTCTAAAATTGCTTTCACTGAAGTACGATTGACATATGAAAAAACCATAGATATTTAATATATACAACTTGATGTGTTTGGAGATAAGTAAGTATATACCCATGAACCATCATCAGTGTGAAGGCCATAAACTTTTCCATCACTTCCAAAAGTTTCCTCTTGTCCCCTTTGCTTTTTGGGGATTCCCCGCTCTTTTATGGCAAAAGCACTTAACATATAAGTGCTACCTTCTCAGTAAATTTTTAAGTATACAATACAATATTGTGAATCATAGACCTTGTTTTGTGCATTAGGTCTCTAGAACTTATTTATTTTTCATAAAAGAAACTTCGTACCCTTTGACTAACACCTCCCCATTGCCCTCTCCTTCCATTCCCTGGAAAACACCCATTTTACTCTCTGCTTTTAGGTGTTTGATCATTTTGGATTCTACATATAAGTAAGGGCATACAATATTTGTTTTTCTGCATCTGGCTTATATCACTTAGAATTTCCCCGAGGCCATCCGTCTTATTACAAATGGCAGGATTTCCTTCTTCTTTGAGGCTGATTAATATTACATTATATGTATAAACCACCTTTATTTTTCATTCTACTTTCTCTTTACCCACTTGTTTGTCAATGGACATCTGAGTTGTTTCCATGTCTTGGCCACTGTGAATAATGGTTCAGTGAACATGTGAGTGCAGGTATCGGGTCAAGGTCCGGATTTCAGTTCCTTTGGATATAGACTCAGAAATGCCTTCCCTGGGGCGCCTGGGTGGCTTAGTCGGTTAAGCATCCGACTTTCGCTTAGGTAATGATCTCGCGGTTCGTGGGTTCGAGCCCCGCGTCGGGCTCTGTGCTGACTGCCAGCTCAGAGCCTGGAGCCTGCTTCAGATTCTGTGTCTCCCTCTCTCTCTGACCCTCCCCTGCTCATGCTGTCTCTCTCTCTCTCTCTCTCCTACAAATAAATAAAACATTAAAAAAAAAAAGAAGCTTTTAAAAAAAAAAAAAAAGAAATGCCTTCCCTACTACACATGATGTAATCTAACTCACATACTCATAGACATTCCAAAGATAGTCCATAAGAATCTAGCCATTTACTCATTTATTTATTCCTCTGGAGGGTTGGTTGGTTTGTTTGTTTTTAATCTAAGCGCTAGAGCAGTACTTCACAAAAAAGAGTTTTGAAGTTCAGGAAAGAAAAATTAGTCACAGGGGAGAGGTGTCACTAAAATCAGCAGCTGAAAGAAGTAGGCACTGGCAGTTACTATTGACAATAGTTGAAAAACAATCTAGTGGATTCTATTAGGGTATAAGAGGTGAAGGATCTTAAATAACAAAAATGTAACTGAGTTGGTTTTTGTTCTGAGAATATATCTAGTTCAGACTCCGCTCGTGATCACAGTACAGGACTTCTCTGCCCCGGTGTATGACTCGAGGCTAGTGTATTTTGTGAAAACTGATGGTTCTGACAACCAGCTGTTTCATACATTTGACCAAGGTACTGCTGAGCTGATGAGTTGAGTATTGGTTGTGCATGCTTACAACCATGTGTGTGGTTACATGTACAGTGTTGAGAGTCACTGCACCAAAGGGAACACCTATGACACTGTCCCTGTCCTCAAATAATTCATTATCTCACCAGTGAGATAAAACTACACATGTGCAACAATTAACAGTCAAGATAGATAATACATAGATTAAAATCTATAACAACCAGGTATATAATAAAGTGTTAAATTAGAGATGAGTGTCTCGTGGCAAAGTTCCAATGGTACAAACCGTGATAGAGAATGAAGGGATCAGGGGAAGATGTGTGAAAATAGGGAACAAAAATTAAGCCTTGAAAATCGAGCAAACCAGGCAAAATAGAAATATAAAACCAAGGACATTCGAAGAAGGCAATGGAGGAATAGGTGCTAAGCACAGATTTCCGTTATTGGCACGGAGATGAGTATTTTATAAAGCTTTCACACAAATCTCTCCTATGAAGGAAGAATTCTTTGCTTAATGGGCTTACTTATTCTTTTCAGTTTTAAGGAGATGTTCAAATGTGGCAAGACCAAAACAGTCAAACAAAAAGCTTGTGCTGAGGTGATTAAACAAGAATACCAAAAACTTGGGCCAATAAGGTAAGAGGCACCTGCACACAGACACACAAGCAAACACACGTACTCATGCGGAAACTTACTGCTTACACTGCAAGTGTTGTGTAAAGGGAAACAGGCACGTAATCATCTGTAATGTATTTAGAACACCTCACAAGGGCCTTGACCATGCTAGCCTTTGTAAATAGAACTCAACATGACAAAATACATACTTTTATCTAACTAAAATTTACCAGGTAAAATCAAAGGAAGCCTAAGATTCCATAGCGGGGTCCAGTCCTTTTCTAACTGTGCCGATTCTTGCAAATCGTTGACACGCAGTCATCTGGGTTTTACAGTATTTAGCGTTCTGCTAAGATTACTCTGGCAACAGCTCAGGGAGTTTCTACAAATGTCCTGACTGAGAAAATAAATGAAAGGATTGGAATTTTTGCACAGGTATCAGGAAATTGTGACCTTGGTCCTCTTCATTTTAATGGCTCTGCTGTGGTTTAGCCGAGATCCTGGGTTTGTTCCTGGTTGGTCTGCGCTTTTTTCCAAGTAAGCGTTACATGTTGTGTTTGTTAAGCCTGCCTGTTTTTTGCTTTTTGTTCTTTTTTCTGGCTTTCTCCTAAGTGTTTCCTAAAACTCTGTAAGATTGTATGAGACTTTTTTCCTCCTTCCTCTCCATTGAAAAGATTGTTTAATTCTAATCCTTTCAGGAAAAAAAATAAGGAATGAAATTTAAGGTAAGGCTGCAGATAAGAGAATCATATACCCTGTAACTAAAAGTCAGGCTCCTTTAGGCAAGGCTATTCCCATCTTTACAAAATTAGAACCATGAGCTGCAGGAAAGCCATGCTCTGTGGTGGTTAGGAGTGCAGGCTGTGGAGCCTCACGGCTTGGAGTCTCTTCTGGCTCTTCCACTTCAGGCAAGTCACTTAACTCTCAGTTTTTTCAGCTGTGAAATGAGGCTAATAAGCGCATTTAGAATAGTGCCGCCCTCCTCTCAACTGACAGCGCAGTCTGCTTGGGATTCTCTCTCTCTCCCTCTTTCCTTTTTTTTTTTTTAAGTTTTTAATGTTTTTATTTTATTTCTGAGAGAGAGAGACAGCATGAGCAGGGGAGGGTCAGAGAGAGAGGGAGACACAGAATCTGAAGCAGGCTCCAGGCTCTGAGCTGTCAGCACAGAGCCCAACATGGGGCTCAAACCCACGAACTGTGAGATCATGACCTGAGCTGAAGTCAGACGCTCAGGTGCCCCTCTCCCTCTTTATCTGTTCTCCCTGGCTCCTTCTCACTCTCTCTCTCTCAAAATAAATAATATAAACTTAAAAAAATAGTGCGGCCCTTACTCCATACAGAAATGCAATATTTATTATTAAGTGAGTTCAGTGCCACTCCATCCTTGTTAATAACCCGATATGGATTCATATTCTGTGATTTTGCCTACTTATTTTTTTTTTTCTTTTTACTCAGGTCAGTACCTGGTCTTTTTCTTCTAATTATGTTCCTTTTTTATACTAGTTCACTATATATCCATCCCTGCCCCTATTTTGTAGATCAAGAATTCCTGAGTAAGTAAGAAGACTAGTTTTACAAACTGATGTTAGCAGCTGGGTCGAGTTCATTTCATCTTGCGGTGTCTTATAGGCCAGCACTCCTGCTGAGTCACATGAAGTGACAGGACGATCGTGTAATTTTCTAAATTAAGGACCATCCTACGTGTCAATATAAATACTTTGGTTTTGAGATGTGTTCTCAGTCTATCTTTCACTGAAGTGCTCTGGCTCCAAAATTGAGCAGATCTCCGATGATGTCTTCCTGTCTCACATCCCACAGCAAGAATCCATGTCTTTGGGGACAGAAACCAAAATTGTTTTAGTTAAAGGTATCCTGCCGACATGGAATAAAGAAGTCCCTCTCCTCTTGAATCAGAGCCTTCTGGTTATATAGACATTGCCAACATGTTTTAAAGGTACAAAGTCTGCGTGCAAATTCCTAGTGAACACGCAAGTGCAGCCACGTGATACGGTAGCATGTTTCAAAGGATCAGCTTCATTCAGCTTGAGAAACTTTTTTTTTCTTTTCTTTTATTTTTTTTTTTTTTTACAAATAGTTTATTGTCAAATTAGTTTCTACATAACACCCAGTGCTCATCCCCACAAGTGCCCTCCTCCATGCCCATCCCCCCTCCCCCCCACATCCATCAGTCCTCAGTTTTTGTCAGCATTCAAGAGTCTCTCATGGTTTGCCTCTCTCCCTTTCCCCCACCATTTCTGCCCTTCTTCTCCCCCTTGGTCCTCCGTCAAGTTCCTCCTAATCCTCCTATACGTGCAAACATGATATTTGTCCTTCTCTGCCTGACTTATTTCACTCAGCATAACACCCTCAAGGTCCATCCATGTTGCTACACATGGCCAGATTTCATTGTTTCTCATTGCCATGTAGTATTCCATGGTATAGATAAACCACATCTTCTTGATCCATTCATCTGTTGATGGACACTTAGGCTCTTTCCATGTTTTAGCTATTGTGGAGAGTGCTGCTATGAACATTGGGGTACATGTGCTCCTATGCCCAGCTTGAGAAACTTTTTGTTTAGGGCTAAGACTTCTCACTTTGAGAAGTCTAAATAAAAGGCAGTAGCCTATTATTCAAGGCAAGCTATTCATAGCCAGCTATCATTTAGCAGTTTGATTTTTACTTTTTAGTTTTGTAACAGGTCATAAACCAACATAAAAAGTAATTTTCCTTTTTAAAATTCCACTCCTATTTACCTTGGTAGGGAGAGTCTTCTCTAAACACCAGTGTGTAAAAACTAAATGAAATCAGATAGTAGCTAATAAAAATCAGGAAGAAATCCCAGTAGGAAATTCAATGTAATAAGTTTCTAGTTTCTGTTCCTTACAGGAAGAAAGTGTAATTCAGAAGATATTTTGTTTGCAGCAGGAAAACAGAGTATATTTACTATGGTGTTTGTGTTACCTCGAATTCTGAGAGAGAATAATAGGATAAGGAACAAAGATTTGATAGGAGAAGGAATTTGAAGATATAAGTCTAATTGACTTTGATTAATAAATTGCCAAAGCAAATAAAATTTGTGTGGGCTTAATACTTTGTAATACTGAGACAATCTTAGTTGTGTTACTAGTTCATAATAAACTAAAAATGAAGTGAAGATAAACAAATACTGAAATAATAATCGTTTTAAAAGTCTTTGGGAACAAAGTTACCTCAATATTTATGGCCTGATTTTATGTGAAGTATATTCTGTAGATTATATTTGTAATATAGAGATTTTAACCATTTAGAATTTCCAAAGCTAGGATGATATATCAAGATTTACAGCTACCACCTAATGTTTTCATTCCATCTGTTTGAACCTGGACTGAATTCAATGTGTCTTCTCATATAAAACAAAATCACATTATATGATGCCTGACTTAATTTCGTAAAATTACAATAAAAAATTATAACTCAAATAAAAGAAATAAGGAAAATACAATAATAAATATTGGTTAAGTTTGTTGAATAAATTACATAAGATAGCTTTGTACTCAGCAAAGAAATTTTAAAAATCTATATTTAAAGAAAACGGACTCATTTCTAAAGTTGCCAGATTGAATAAAAATAATGCATTTCCTTGATTATTTATACTATTCAGATAAATCATAGGAGTAGAGAGCTTCTATAGTATGAACACATCGCTGAGTCACAAGGTAGCAGGATAATCCCTAGGGCGTACATATGTCTTCTCAGGCTACAAAGATTCACTAGTTAATATTTCTGAATCTTAAAACTGAATGTTAATTATGTATGTCTGTTTCATTCATATCTAGTTTCCAGGTGCTTCTTTAATAGTTGAGGCTTCTGGCAACCTGTCTTACTTGCTGGAATGACCTGGTGATTCTAAGACCCCATCTGTTCCTGAATCACTCTTAATTTGTCCAGTGACCGTTTATGAGCATCTCATAAGCCATTCTAATAATTAATATTCTTGATTGAGTTTCACAGGGTGCAAAGCATTAAATGGGTTGATTTCATTTGTATGATATGGCTAGGGACTATAATCACAGTAGCAGATGTTATATCTTAGAAAAACAGATCAATTTCTTTTCATAATGTACAGAAGAATTTTAGAGGACTCTAGAAACACCCTTTCCTTGCCACAAGTCAATGCTATGATGTTATACAACAGTTATACAGGGCTTTGCCCAGTCTAGCAATTGCTTTGGCCTCAGTTCTCTGCCAGTATACTTAAATGAAAAAATTCAAAGAAAAAAATTGTTTACCAAATCCTTAAACTTTGCCTAAAAAGGAACTTGACGTGTTGGCCATTATGTTAGCCTGTGTATTCATGGTTTTGAAAGTAGGAGACATATATGGAAACATTGAGAACATGATCTGAGATTTTCAGCTTCACTAACTTATATCATTTAGTTGGAAATCCATAGGTTTTAGACCAGATTATCCAAAATAAATAATCTAGGTCACCACTACTACTTGTATGGTTATTTGCCTAGTCAATTACTGTTTACTTTGTTCAAGTTCTTCATGCTATTTTTAATGTACATATCTGTCCTCTTTCAGGTACCCTGGTTTTGCTACAGATTCAACTGTTGCCTTACTTATAGGACTCCTATTCTTTCTTATCCCAGCTAAGAGATTGACTAAAACCACACCTACAGGAGAAATTGGTTGAGTATTATTTATAATTCTGAATGACTTTGACAGAAGAGCAAAGTTACAAAATTCCATTGGTTTCAGTTAGCACTTAGAATGGAAGGAATGGGCATGCCCCTGGCTTAGCATGCCCTGTTTGCACACTGCAGCCTTTATTCAGCCAGCACGTGTTTTCCCTCTGCAAGGAGAATCGTCTTACTTGGCAGAAGTGAGAAGTAGATTTCCTTATGCAACATGGTTAGGACTCCGCTACGAGTGACACTTTCCGGTTCACAATAGGCTCACTTTCCCCTGCCACAATCAGAATTAATCTTACTATTGGCAAACATAGGAACAAGAACTTGGAAGTCACACTTCATGATGAGCCCTTGGTAATAAATGCTGAGGATTTTCACCTAAAAAGGTGAGGAGTTTCAAGGGAAAGAGTATTTACAGCATCATAGTAATCCTGGAGAGAAAGCAAATCAAATCCATACTTAGCCAGAACCTAGTGTCACAAATGGAAGAATCAATATTCAAATAAGAGGGAACATTCATTGTCTTTATAATACATGCACAAAGAAGTATCCATGCTTGTGTGAGAAGACCCCTCCTTCCCCTGACACACACATTTCTTAAACACAGGTTTCACCCCCATCTGTACTTTATACTAATTCAGCATGTATTTTGGGTATTCAGATTCCTTTGTTTTTATTGTAGGACAAAGAGTTTAAAATTGTTTGGAACTAGTCTAGTAGAGAGTGTTTGTTGGGAGGGGGGTTATTGTTGGTTTTTCTTTTATTTCTCCCTTTTTCTTCTTTTTTTTGCTTGTGTGGGACCTGGATTCATGGAGTTGAGTTGACCCATCTGACTTCTTGCATCTGAATTCATAAGTGACTAATAAGTCAGATTGCTAGGACATGATACGTATAAATAGTATAATTTAGAAATAAATGCCTTTTATTCTTTACTTGAGTCTAGAACATCTCATAGTGTATTATAAGGAGATATTGTAATACAGAGTAATAATTTCTATGAGGCCCTGAGGACACTGACCATTGCGGTCAAATCCCTACAGCCTATCAGTGGCAAGTGTTGAAGAGCCAATGCTTGGCTTCATTTCCCGGGCTCCCACATCTGAATCCCCTTCTCAGAAAGAGCCTTGCTTCTTTTGGGGAGAAAGAATTTTCTCTTCCCTTCAAGATCCTTCTAGCTGGACTAAGAATCAAGTTGACAGGACACAGATTAATGGTAGGAAGTCAAATTTAATGGTGTACATACAGGGAATCCACACAGACATGGACAATCCAAAGACAGTGAGGCAACATAACACTTAAATGAGCTAAGAGGGATAGGGGTCTGAGGATACAAAGGGGAGGAAGACCAATAACAGGAAGGTGAAAGGAGATGTTTAGAAAGCAAAGGTTGCCCAATTATGCAGATAAGTTTCATAGGTAAAGAGGAATCTTTGTTAATCTCTCTCTTCCTGTTATAAGCAGGTAGTTGAGGGGGAGGCAAGGAACTTTTTCTGAATCTGCTGGGGGGGGGGGATTGTTTGTTTTTTTAATGTTTTGGGTTTTTTTTTTTTTTAAAGAGAGAGAGAGTACACTAGGGGAGGAAGGGCCAGGGGACAGAGGATCCAAAGCAGGCTCTGCACTCATAGCATCGAGCCTGATGTGGAACTCAAACTCACGAACCATGAGATTATGACCTGAGCCAAAGTTGGACACTCAACCACCTGTGCCCGAATTTGCTGGGTTTTGATTGCTTTTAACTCAAAATAATGTTCATGCCAAAGTCGCCCATCTTGGGGCACCCTGCCCTTGGCCCCCTACCACTGTCCACCATTCTCTCTCTCCTCATTCTTCACTCCTGTTCCCTGATAAACTCATTCACACTAGGTTTAAAAATGACTAGGTTTAAAAATGACAATATGTTAAATTTTACATGAGAGGTGCATTTCAGAAATGTTTGCATTTTAACAGGATATATATCCCTTTTTTTGAGAAAAAGAGCAAGAGAGAGAGCACACAGGTGGGGAAGGGCAGAGGGAGAGAGAGAATCTTAGGGAGTCTCCATGCCTAGTACAGAGGCTCCATGCCTAGTATGGAGCCTGATGCAAGGCTCAATCTCAAGATCATGAGATCCTAACCAGAGCTGAAATCAAGAGTTTGGCATTTAACCAAATGATCCAACAAGGTATGCCTTAATAGGCTATATATATCCTAATTCAAGTAAGGAATAGCAGAATTTCCATCAACAGTGAAGGTGGGTTTTGTTTAGTTTTCTTTTTTTTTAATTTTTTTAATGTTTTATTTATTTCTAGGAGAGAGAGATAGAGAGACAGCGTGAGCAGGGGAGGGTCAGAGAGAGAGGGAGTCACAGACTCTGAAACAGGCTCCAGGCTCTGAGCTGGCAGTCAGCACAGAGCCCCACACGGGGCTCCAACCCACGAACCGCGAGATCATGACCTAAGCGAAAGTTGGACACTCAACCAACTAAGCCACCCAGGCACCCCGGTTTTGTTTAGGTTTAACAGAAGGAGCTAGGAAGGAGTTTTACTAGTAACCTTAAAATCTCACCATGTAGAAGGCCACTTGCTACACACAAATATTAAATGGGAATATTATATTCATGGATGACCTTTATTCTCAACAAATCAAATGAGCCATTATGACCCAAATATCAAGAGAAATCTTTATAATAATTTTAAGAGTTATGAATAATACTTAAATTATTTAATCTGAACTTTGATTTTAAACTGAAAACATGATGAATCTATATGACCCTCCTCATGAATTGAAAAAAAATAAAAAAGGTTCAAGAAAATAGTGAATAAAATTATAATGCTACAGTGATGATATTAGAACCAACGTCATATTAGACACTTTGAATAGCAAAGAATAGTATAGTCAATGCACTGTATTACTCATAGTAGGCAAAAATGTTGGCAGAATGAATGAATGAATGAATGACATTATAAATGACAATGTTATAACCTATCTAAATTTATAATGTGATCCAAAGGATTTTTCCATGTCATGGCTTTTTTTTTTTTTTTTTTTGAGAGAGAGAAAGAGAGAGAGACAGTGTGAGCAGGGGAGGGTCAGAGAGAGAAGGAGACACAGAATCTGAAGCAGGCTCCAGGCTCTGAGCTGTCAGCACTGAGCCCGACGCGGGGCACGAACCCACGAACCATGAGATCATGACCTGAGCCAAAGTCGGACGCTCAACCGACTGAGCCACCCAGGAGCCCCTATGGCTTTTTTTTTTTTTTTTAATGCAGTGTTCTACCTCAGCCAGGTAGAAATTACTCAAAGTTCAGAGCAAGTTATTTATCTAAAAACAATCTAGGAATATTAAAAACTTCTAATGATATGGTGGTTTCAGACAATGAAAAAAGGACATGTCATATTGCCATATTTGAAGCAATGTATAACTGTGGGAATTGTGTTTTGCAGTTGCTTTTGATTACTCTCCGCTGATTACTTGGAAAGAATTCCAGTCATTTATGCCCTGGGACATAGCCATTCTTGTTGGTGGAGGGTTTGCCTTGGCAGATGGCTGTGAGGTAATACTCTGTGTCCACGATATTTAACAATTAACTAGACTTTTCCAAAGAAGAACAAGAGACAACCAGGCATTGGCATATTCAACTTTATCCTATCATTTTAATGATGCAGATTTCAATTGTCTTGCAGTGAGTATACCACACAGATAAAGTGAGTTCAATAATTTTTACAGGCTGCAAGCATAAAACATCATTTTTTATGATGCCCCAACATGTCAAAAGGAATAAAGCAAAGATGAGAATTCTTAAAACATGAACTGGTATTAGAAGACTAGCTAAGTAAGAAAACAATGCAAAAATCCTACATACAATGACTCCTAACAAAACATTCTGTTTATAACTTTACCTTATTTCATGATGAATCTGAGTAGCTCACAGACTTCTCTTCAGTATATCATAGTCCTGGTGGGCCTGGGTGGCTCAGTCAGTTAAACATCCTACTCTTGATTTTGGCTCAGATCATTATCTCATAGTTTGTGGGATCAAACCCAGCTTTGGGCTCTGCCCTGACAGCGTGGAGCTTGCTTTGCATTCTCATTCTCTCTCCCTCTCTCTCTCTTTCTCTCTCTCTCTCTCTCTCTCTGTCCCTCCCCTGCATGTGCTCACTCTCTTTCTCAAAAATAAACATTTTGTTAAAATTTACAATATATCGTAGTCCTCAGGCTGTCAAAGAAGAATGAGAAGTAACAGTGCTTCATTACATCATTTATTTATTACATATTAAGTACATTAAAAGTACTTAGTACATGTTGGGGCACCTGGGTGGCTTGGTCAGTTAAGCATCTGACTTTGGCTCAGATTATGACCCCACGGTTCTTGGGTTCCAGCTCAGCATCGGGCTCTGTGCTGACAGCTCAGAGCCTGGAGCCTGCTTCAGATTCTGTGTCTCTCTTTCTCTCTGCCCTCCTCTGCTCATACTGTCTTTCTCAGACTCTATCTCAAAAATAAAGAAACATTTTAAAGAAGTATTTAGTACATGTTTATTGGATAAAGTCCAGAGAGAATTTTACATAACCATGGCTAATATTGTACTATGTCTAATTTTAGGGAAAAATAACAGCACCATGAGGAATAAAGCTGGCTTTTTCTTTGGCCTGTCATCTATTCAGCTGATATAAAGTAGAAGTCTGGGGAAGGCCTTTGTCACTGGAAAGTCATTGTAGGGCTGCTAGAAGAAAAGCATCTTCTGAAAAAGTCCGTGAAAAAGTTTTTACTCTTTGACTAAATAAAAACTCTCATTTCCAAGTCTCATAGTCATCTGTGAAACACTTAAAGCTCACATCTGCTCCATTTCTTCATTCAGTCATCAAAGTAAAAAAGATGATGAAAGAGATGTGTCCAGCCTTTTCGCTCCTGGAAAGTTAAATTTTTATTCTTCAGACGAATAACTATCTGCTATCTTCTAAATAGCCTATAAGGAGGGTGCCTTTTGCTTTTTACTTTATTGTCAATTTTTCTGCATGGTATTTGGACACTGAGCTTTCAGCAATATGACTTAGTAATAGGTGAAAATCTTGGAAATTGTCTCAATTCTGAGTGCCACTTACAATGTCTTTTTACATGTAGACTTGGCTTGCCTTAGAGACTACTCAAATTTAAATGATAGAAATATAAGGCAAATACACATTTTCCCTTACTATTTCAGAAATAATGAGATCTGGTTTCTCAAAATCAGTAACTTCCATTCTTTTTATTGCTAATTTGAACTGTGAGGCAATCTGAATCAGTAATTCTGACACTGATGTGAACTTTGTTCATCTCTCCTTCCCAGAATATCTGTCTGGATTGGACCCTAGATACTCAAAGTGATTTTAAAAGCATTGGCCAGACCCTAGAATTGCAAAATCCAAGAAAATTAAAAGACGTGGACTTCCTCTGATATATTAGCCCCTCCCACTGGAAGAATTGGGGAAACTATAGAGGGAGGTCGTTTGCTATGAAAATCCTAGTATGTAGAATTAAATTTCTGTGGGAGAATAACCGGAATAACCCTACCTCTGTGGACAAATATGCCCCTCCTTAGAAACTAATTTTACAAACATTTGGAGACAGTTCATTTTTAAAATTTTTGTTCCAAACTGCAATTAGTTTGGCAAATGTCCAGAATCAGATAACCCCCCTGTTGGGAGCCATAAAATGGCAGCTAACTACTAAAGCATTCACCTCTTTGTAATTACTTCTCTCTTAAAAGCCTGTTAACTTTGTTTTAACATAATCACAGTACACTAAGTGACTTGGGTATGAACAATATTCATATAATCATAATGGCGACCTTTCAATATTGATTTAATAAAAAACTTGATATATGAGTAAAGGAAATGGAGGGCCAGGAAATATACGTATGGTGGATGGTGTAAGAAAGCTGAATCCTTACGTAACATATTAGAAAGTCAGTAAACAAAATCGAAATCAGCAAATAAAGAAACCACATAGTTTAAAAAGTAGCCATACGTAGCTAATCTAGGTTGAAAATTGTCTCTGGGGAACACAACTTGGGAATAGAGAGAAGCAGACCAGAGGGTCCCATTTTCTTAAAGTCCTATAGTACCACACGATCTGTCTGTATAAAATAGGTAAAATTACATTTTAATTGAAAAAATGTGGGAAGACAATTCAAAGTCCCTAAAGCATGTTGGTAGCGTTAAAGTAAGAATAATTGAGAACGTCTCCCATGTCAGCTGAAGTCACCTAGATCTACCAAACTATGGGAACATATGAAAGATTAAAGTTATATTTTAAACTTAGTTATTAGAGCAAAGGCTACATTTTATACATTTAAATTGTGCCTGATTAAAAAATTATTAACAAATTACATTGCTAATTACTATTCTTTTCTTTCACTTTTTTTTTTAGGAATCAGGACTATCCAAGTGGATAGGAAATAAATTATCTCCTCTAGGTTCATTACCAGTATGGCTAATAATTCTGATATCATCTTTGCTTGTCACATCTTTAACAGAGGTAGCCAGCAATCCAGCTACTATTACCCTTCTTCTCCCGATACTGTCTCCATTGGTGAGTATCTCATTCATCTGCTTTTCTCCTCATCAAAAGTGTAGTGTTCTGCTTCGCTTGTTCTCATTTTGTGGGATGGAACCATTTTTTGATGTGAATGATCTTCCTATAAGTAACTTATAGAGTGGTCTTTATTTGCATTACTACTTTTTCTGGCAGACCTCACGTCAGGAGAATTCTGTTCTTCGACGGTCAAGCAGAAGCACTTTGCTTCTCTCTGCCCAGATTTTTCATTTAGCTTCTCTCTGCCCAGATTTTTCATTTGCAGATAAGTGCGAGGGTCAGCCTGGATCCTTTCCAGCTGTATGACTTTGGGATTCAGTGTTTTCTGGCATCTTCAGTATTTAAATGTCTAACACTAACACTTCTCCCTCCAGATTATTCCCCAGTTTCTGAGAAGTGGTTCATATAAGTGATTTGCAAGTGAATGAAAAGCTAGGCTTATGCTTCAGGCTTTAAGCTTAAATATCTTAGACACAGCTCTCTCTATGGCCCAGGGAATAATTTTAAAAGATAAGTGAAAAGCAGATTTGCAAGGAGAGAGAGGAAAAGACAATCTACCTTTTTTTCTCCCCACCTCGCTAGCAAATACAAGAAATAGCTGTAAGTAAAATGTTTCCCTTATTGACATGGCTGAGTTTGGTGAGAGGGTAGCACTTTAAATTAAGAAGGATTGCCCTTCTGGAAATGTTCTGCTCCAGCTCTAGGTACATATGATGGCATTCTTGGGCTGCTGCTTCAAACTAGAGAAGAAACGCAGGCAGTGTATACTGGCAAAATGTCATTTTGATTTTGCTGTTTTTTATTTCTTAACATGGCACAGTTAGAAATGGCACTGTCAGACAAGTTAGATGATGAATTAGGAATAGTAGTTAACTCTTTTTCTGTGATGATCCCTAAGCAAATTGTAGATTATATATGGCGTAGAGGCAGAAAAGTTAATGGAATAATGAGAAGCTTCAAAGCCAGAGAGACCTAAGCCCCTGCATAAGCCCTACTGCTTGCCAGCTTTGTGTCTGGACGAGTTACTTTAGCCTTTCTGGACCTTAGTTTTTTCATCTGTTACTTGGGGTTATAGTAGCCATCTCAGAGGTCACTGGGAAAATTAAGTTATTTTATTTAAACACACACACACACACACACACACAACGCCTAACACTGGATAAATAATAAATTGCTTCTGTTTTTATTTAGTTCCTGGAATAAATGATACTTTATTTTCTAAATGAACTGAGCTATAACACTTTAAGTGGGCACCAATAACCGTATAAACAACAAGAAGAAGAGACATTTCTGAAAACTGTTCTTCAAGCTCTAATTGCATTTATGTGTATAATTTTATGTCTTTAGGTTTTAACTTGCTTCCGGGAAAGTTTATTATAATAATTTTGCTCATTCTGCTGCATGGTACCTACCTCAAAATTTTACTTAGACTCCTTTTTTTTTATCTTTTCCAACAGGCTGAAGCCATTCAAGTGAACCCTCTTTATATTTTGATACCTTCTACTCTGTGTACTTCATTTGCATTCCTCCTACCAGTAGCAAATCCACCCAATGCTATTGTTTTTTCCTACGGCCATCTAAAAGTAATTGACATGGTGAGTGAGCTGAAAGAAAACAATCAGGTCCAATGTCTTTTGAGTTATCACTCCTTTTGCACACTAATCAACTTCCAGGGAAGGCAAGGCTTGAGTTCTATTCTGAAGGGAGAGTTCATGATTGGTCATAGAATTGTTTTTAAGAGTGATACCAGAAGCAAACACCATGAGAATTTGCAGCACAGATACAGAGATACTGACTGCATCAGTCATGTCCTGGAAGAGGAAAAGAGCTTAGAATATGTTCCACACAAGGCCTGAAACTTACGTGTCAAAGTCAGACTCCAACCTGACCTGGGCAAAAGGAAGAATAGGGTTAATGAAATTCAGCCATCACGCACTGTGGTTTTCTATCACAAATATTTTTGCAAAATTTTGCAACCAACCAACATTTACTTCGAAAAGCATGCTGGGCTCAGTGCCTGCTGATGAAAAGCCATCTTTCTTGTCGTGATTCTAATAGTGACATCTGACATGAAAGCGCAAGCAAGTCATAGTGGAACACTTAGTATGGTGTCTACGGGTGGTGTTTCTCCCGACCAGAGGGGGCCTCCAAATGTGGGGTGATGCCATCTGAGGCAGAACAAAGGAGAAAGAAGTTTACTGAATATGCCCCAAGGGAACAGCAGAAGACAACAGAAGAAAGGCTATCTGCAAGGAGGCAGTGGATGGGGGCCGTTTTTAAAGGAGGAAACTAAAGAAGTCTGGCATAGAATTTTCCCTTTTTTGGTAACTGAGCCTGTTTGTAAGTAGCCCATTGGTCATATAGGGCCTTTGGATATGTTGGGGTGGGTTGCCTGGTGGGCCTGTCTGTATTCAGCCAGGTGGTCATTGTGGCCCTTTCTGCATTCCATTGCTCATGGCTGTTTGCTGTGGTAGGAAAGGACTGGCTTGAGAATATTTTAGTCTCCCCCAGATCTTGATCACCAACTTCCAAACCAAACCAAGCAGGAATGTAATGAAAGTAAATTCCAGTCGCTTGCTCTGCAAGTGCACTCCCAAGGTAAGTTCCAGCTCCCGCCTGCTACACGCATTGCATTGCTGTCCCTACATTCCTGCGATGTCAAAATTGGGAAATGCCTCTATGCAGAAGTCACATAATATCCTTCTGGAAAGAAAATGTGCATAATACAATATAACCAGTGTCCTGTGCGTATGAATTTAAACAATAAAAACAGGATTCTGAAATAAGTGAGTGGCTTGCATAGACGGAAAAGGAGGCTTCCTATAATAATCACTGCTAGATAGCCCCTTTTGCTTTGGGGCTCCAGGCTTTAAAACAGAGATTGCAGAGATTAGCAATCTCTCCCTACAAAGTCAGACAGTAAATATCTGACGCTCTGTGGGCCGTATGCTCTCTCTGTCACAACTACTTAATTCTGCCATTGTATCATGAATGCAACCAACGACAATATGTAAACAAGTAGTCATGGTTATAGCCCCATACAACTTTACTTACCAAAACAGGTCATGGGCAGTATTTTGCCAGGCCTTGTTTGAATGGATAGAAAACAACTTTGAAATTTTTAGTAGATATCAGGATGATGACACAAGAGCCAGAAAAATGGGCACTCTAAGAAAGATGAATAGAAGTGGCATTTTATTAAATCTCAATAAGAGAATACTAAAGGCTAAACTAATAATGGTATTGAGTGAACATGAAGGATCCAGTTATCATACAGTGACCTGAACCTTATCCGCTGAAATACAAGACCTCAAAACTCAAATTCTGATTTAACATGAAATGACAATTTTTTAAATGGATTTTTTTCTTGAATTAGATGAATTCCAGTATATTCCTAAGAGGACCCTTTCAGAATCTCCAACTAAATGTCATTTAGCTGTGGACAGGCTCTCCTTTGAGATGAATGAAAGAATTCATTGTTTTATGAAATGACAACAATTGATACACAGCATTTATGATGCATGTAAATCTGACATATACTTTCTGCTGCAGGATTCGAATCCTGCTACAGGTTTCCTTTTGGGGAGACTGACATTTATACTCTTTCCTGTTCAAGGTGAAAGCTGGACTTGGCGTTAATATTGTGGGTGTTGCTGTGGTGATGCTCGGCATGTCCACCTGGATTACGACTCTGTTTGACCTCTCTACTTACCCTTCGTGGGCTCCTGCAATTAGTAATGAGACCATGCCCTGACAAGCATGAATGGTAATAACTGGTGGTGAGTTTTGAGAACCGTTGAGAATTCACTGCAGATTCGGCTTTGGAAAATTGAAAACACCTTTAAATTAGCCTTGATGTAGCTGCTGTGTTTCCAGTAAACACTCAAAACCTGCTGGCATAACCCAGAGTTCACACCGAAGCATCTATGTGCCTTTATCAAGAAGCCCACAGCTGAGATTTTGCTCGTGGATCCTATGCATCCTGCTTCAACATAAGAGTAACTTATAACACGACCATCAAAGAGATTAGGTGATTTATTTCATTTTACAGTTTGGGTTTGGTGTAACAGTTCAAACGTCAATTTATTATTTCAGGAACTTCCCACAAAGCCAGAAATAGGAAATAAAATATACCAGTTAATTAGGTACTTGGATAAGTCATTTCTGTAGTGTTGCTGAAGGGAATTTGTTGAAAAACCAAAGCAGCAGTCATCTGCTGGTGCAGAAGAAAGGTTTAATTTAAATGAAATGTGCGTTCTCTCATTTTAAAAAACACCAGATTATTTTTGACATATGTATATGGTATGAAAATGGAAATTGAATTGCTAGTTTCAAAATTATAGTTGAATCCACTAAACAACAGAAAACTCATAGATAAGGACTAATTTCTACTTGACCTTATGGTTGGATTAATATAATTCATACCTTTAATATCTCAGTGAACTAAAAAGTGCATTTTGTAGAGCTGTGAATAATGCTTCCTCTGATTGCACAGTGTAGATACAAAAGAAAGCTAAACACTATAAAACTATTAACACATTTCTGTATATGTATAAAAGTTTTGCTTACGTGTTTATCTTACTTCAGAAATGCATAATGTCATATGTAAAAAGAGAAGATTCAGAAATCTAATGAATTATCACTAAGTGCAGCGACAGAAAAAAGTAACATAACTCCATTATTTTCAACATTGAGATGAAATGTCAGATGGAAAATAAGAATAAAAAATAAAACTGTTGATATATTTACAAAAGAAAAATTATTAAATGCTACTAAATTAATAATTAATTTTAAATAAATTGTTTAATTAATATTAAATTAATAATTATTAAATTATTCATTGGCAAACAAAAAGAAAAAGAAAAAAGAAGGGGTGTCCGAGTGGCTCAGGTGGTTAAGCATCTGACTCTTGATTTCAGCTCAGGTCAGGATCTCACAGTTTGTGAGTTTGAGAGCCCCATGTTGGGCTCTGTGCTGCCGTTGTGAAGCCTGCTTGGGATTCTCTCTTCCTCTCTCTCTCTCTCTCTCTCTCTCTGTCCTCACTCATGCTTGCATGCACTTTCTCTCTCAAAAACAAATTAAAGTAGAAAAGAAAAGGAAAGGAAAGAAGAAAAAAAAGGGGAGGGGAAGGGAGGGAGGGAGGGAAGGGAAGAAAAAAGAGATCTGAACATTCAAACAAAAATAGAGAGTAGGCTGTTAGCACTCGGGATGTGAAAAAGAATAAGGTCTATTGACATTCCAAAATTCCACTACAGGGGAAAAAATGACAGTGAAAACAAAATAATGTGCACAGTTCAGAAAAGATGGAGAAGTTAAAACATAACAATTCTCGGGCCACCTGGGTGGCTCAGTCAGTTAAGCGTCCGACTTTGGCTCAGGTCATGATCTTTTGTGGTCCATGAGTTCGAGCCCCACATTGGGCTCTGTGCTGACAGCTCAGGGCCTGGAGCCTGCTTAGATTCTGTATCTCCCTCTCTCTCTGCCCCTTCCCCGTTCATGCTCTGTCTCTCTCTGACTCTCAAAAATAAATAAATGTTAAAAATTTTTAAAAAACCACAACAATTCTCATGCTAAAAATAAAGTGGAAAACAGGCTAAGAAAATACCTTTGGTATTATTTTTAATCTTCAGAGAAGTCATCAGCCCTCATTTGGTTTTCATACAAATGATGGCATTTATAAAGTTGTTCTTTTAAAAACTTGAAAAAGTTTTTTAAAAGGAAGACATTCCTTTAAACATTTATACATGATAGATTGTCTGTGTTCATTGTTTGTCTATTGGTCAATGCAAAATTTATCAATTTTTAAAAATTTGTCCATTTAACCCTTACAATATATTGCTGCTTTGTGTATACCTTCTAAGTTCCCCCTATTCACTTAATTCTTTCCCTGTCATATATTACACATTTACTTATGATCAATAGAATCTATTACTTTTTGGCTTTTTTCTAGTCATTCAGTTTATCACTGCTGAATTATATTATGTGATGAATACATTTTAATTATGAAAAAGTGGAATGACTTTTCAAATTAGAATGAATAAGTTTTCCCTTCACGAAAATAATATAAACATTTCAGCTTGAATCACTTTAATGAATTGCTTCCACAGCTGCCCGCTGAGTACAAGAAAAATAATACTTTGTCAACATGTGTTTAAGTGAGCCGTGCCATTCTCTTGCTCCATCCTCACGTTTAGTTGACATACCAAAAATGACTGAACTCATCTGTTTCACATTTGTCCCATTTACATCAAAGTTCTCAAGCTATTTGAGTTTGAAAGTTGTATACTGTCTTTGAAAGTTTCCAAAAGGCAACCTAAACAGATGATCAAACAAAGCTCTGTCCTCCCCCTCCATGGTAGAGAGTGTTTTTGTTATTATCCTGATCCTTACTTAAAGGTTAACTAGAAATCTTTGTCACTTTAAATCCGACTATCTTCCTTAGGATCTTGTCTAGGCAATAGCAGCAATTTCACTAAGTGCCTATTTACTGTCTGTTCGTGCAAGTGCTTGGAGGCCCCACTGGCATGTGTGTGCGCCCTTCACTCACCTCAACTGCCTCTGTCCATGTCAGCATCTCTAGAATTCAGACTTCCTTCCTTTCAAATGTCTGCACTCTTTCCACCTTACCTGGTAACCATGGCTTAGTTCTCTCCTTTCAGCCTGGGAGGTAGGGAAGTATGCTTTTAACCATTGATAGTAATCAACCCTGTTAGCCAAAATTGATAATACAATATCCAGGTTCCTTGATAGTTTCTTGACATGTGTACTATGTGGTATTATATGTAAAAGATGTATTATCTGATATAGTATTATATCTCTGCCATGGCTAAATATTTGATAAGGATTGGGGCTCCTGGGTGGCTCAGTCGGTTAAGTGTCCAACTTCAACTCAGGTCATGATCTCATGGTTAGTGGGTTCGAGTCCCGAGTCAGGCCCTGTGCTGACAGCTCACTGTGTCGGATTCTGTGTCTCCCTCTCTCTTCTCCTCCTCCGCTTGCGCTCTGTCTCTCTCTGTCTCTCAAAAATAAAGAAAAATGTTAAAAAATTAAATATTTGATAAGGATTCTTGTGATCCTTTTGTTCCAAAGTTTTGTTGAGTTAGTTAATGAATGACTATCCTTGCATGAATATGTGGATTTTACCAAATTAAATGTTTTTATCTTTAGGAGGGGAAGGGTTGTACTAAGAATGAAAGAATAAACCCAAACAAACTGGGTCAGTTTTAGTACTGTAACACAATCTAAAAAGGAAAATAGTTAAAATTGTTACTTTAGAACAGCATTGACCATGTTATTCAGAATGAAACACTTTAGGGACACCTGGGTGGCTCAGTCGGTGAAGCGTCTGATTTTGGCTCAGGACATGATTTCACAGTTTGTGAGTTCAAGCCCTGCATTGACTGACAGCTCAGAGCCTGGAGTCTGCTTCAGATTCTCTGTCTTCCTCTCTCGCTCTGTGCCTCCCCTGCTTGTGCTGTCTCACTCTCTCAAAATTAGATAAATATTTTTTAAAAATCTTTAAGCAAATAAAAAAGAAATGAAGCACTTTCTTTTTTTAAATGTTTATGTATTTTGAGAGAGAGCAAGAGACAGAGCACAAGCCGGGAAGGGACAGAGAGAGACGGAGACACAGAATCCAAACCGGCTCCAGGCTCTGAGCTGTCAGCACAGAGCCTGATGAGGGGCTCCAACCCTGAGATCATGACCTGAGCCAAAGTCTGAGGTTCAACCGACTTGAGCCATCCAGGCGCCCCAGAAGCACTTTAATCAAAGTAAAAATGTGGGGCACCTGGTGACTCAGGTGGTTAAGCCTCCAATTTTTGTTTTTGGCTGACATCATGATCTCACTGTTATGGGCTTGAGCCCCATGTTGGGCTCCATATTGGGCATGGAGCCTGCTTAAGATTCTCTCTCTTCCTCTTCTTCTGCCCTTCCCCTGCTCACATGCATGCTCTCTCTCTCTCTCTCTCTTTCTCTTTCTCTCTCAAAAAAAAAATGGTAAAAATTAGGCAAGTTTTCAGGATGCAAATATCAAAATCACAGGTCCCCATTGTAAAAGCCAGACCAGACTAGACCAAGAGTAAACAGTAAAATGGTAAAACAGAAATTAATGGGTTTTTCCAAATATGAGGGTCATCATTTGTCTAGGAAGAGAAAGACCCAGCATTTGAAAAAGAAATAAAGGGGGTGTTCTTACATATAGTGTTATAGATACTGGGGGTGGCTTTAGGGGGAGTAGATTTTAAGCCAAATAATAAAAAAATATTGTGTCACATACATTCCTGTGTCAGCAAGAAAATAATGGACGTTCTCAAAAGGATGATGGAGCACTAGCAACAACCCAGAGACTTAACCAAGGGCTCACAGTGGCAACTGCTAATCCCTAGAAATCTCAAAATTTTCCTTTAATAATAAAATTGAGCAAGGGTCTCAAAGGCTATATTCTCAGAGAGAGTGTGAGCTAGGGGAAAAAATCCCAACTTATAGAGGGAAACATCCAGGGAACCTTCATGTTTAGGCCTATGCACTAGGTAGAGGGGTAAAATCTCCCTTGAGAATTCTTAACTGTGCAGGTTAGGGGCCTAAAGTCTCAATACCAGTGTGTATGGGGGGGAAAAAAAAAACCTTAATCTTAAACTTTATCTTATAACAATCCCAGATTGGTAGTATACCCAAGTGCCTCGCAAAAGGAAGGAATACCTTCTTCCACCTGGGGCTCAGAGAATTACTAAAGTGAACTCTCTATGAGAGATTATAATCAAAACTTGTAGATTCTGCCAAGACATAAAACGTACTGTGCAAGAGCCACATGTGTGGCTGAATAATCCAAAGGACAAAGACAATAGATACTCTACTTATCAAATACAGAATATAAAATGAGGAAGTATATGTTTGACAATATGAAAGAGGGTATTGGAAATATAATCATTGTGGTAGGCAGAATTCTAAAAATGTCTCCCTAAGTTTTCTGTCATTTGGTTATTCAATCAAACACTAATCCAGGTATTGCTATGAAGGGGATTTGCAGATATAATTAAGATTATTCATCAGCTAGCCTTAAAATATGGAGATTATCCTGGATTACCCAGGTGGGCCTAATGTGATCATATGAACTTTTAAAACCAAAA